AAATATTTGACATTGGAACAATGTGCAGAAGCTGATGCTCGAAAACGAAAGTGGTATTATAATTGCAAGACCGTTGCGTCACGTGCCCTGCAACCGCACCGCACTGCTCAGATGATTAAAGCACTGACTCAATCTCGGTTCCGTCGAAGGTTAGAATGGTTTCAGGACGCGGTGGAGCATTCTACAGTACGTCTCTGCACATAGCATTTCTTCTTTTTTTTTATAATAATGAGACGAATCTCTCGGAGTATTCAGTCTTTCAATCTGAAAGTGTGTGGTGGTATCTGTTCCTGGTGAATTTCGTCTCCATTGAGAAGGCTCACGACACGATGGCGAAGCGATCACTCACCTCATTTTTTTCACCTTCATCGGCTCCGCATGATGATATCGGTCCAGCACTCGGTTTCCCTTTTCTTCCGTCGCTTCGTGTGCTCATCACCGTTGCTTCAATAGCGAAAGGAGGGAAGAATTACAAGAAGTACATGGGAAGAATTTTGCTCATTGTCCTGCCCCAGTGTTGATCCGTGTCTAGATGCAAGAGCGTTTGAGAGAGTTGGCTTCGATCGGAACGTTCCATTCCACTGTATACATGATGCGTAAAACCGGCGATGTATACAGTAGAAATGCGGGACTGGTTTTCACTTCATTGTTCTCACTAAGGTGCCTTACTCATCCCGTCCCCTCACCGTCGACTCCAAAATCCCTCCAAAATTCCCGTTTCTTTCCGAGGAATAGATGCGGTCATCCGTTCACACCCTGACAGGTTGCTCTGCCTTAATTAATTCAGACTTTCATGCCAAGTCTGTCTTTGGGTGTCTGCCTCAAATCGGTCGAATCCAGTTCTATACCTACACTCGAGAAAATGTGTATCTCGGTCCGGCGGGAAGATCACTCAAGATCTTCTCTACTACGAGACAGGGGTACCGTGCAAAGTGTATTCGCTCAAATCGTGCGTTGTCGGATCTTTTCGGCATCGGTTATTGAGGGAAAAATGAAGGCGAGGAGAGGGACACTTTGAAAGTCGGTGATGCTGGATTGCATGGACGTCCGAACTAACCTTGAAGAGAAGGGAATGGGCACCCTCCTGCCGAATGAAACAGAAGCCAAATCGCACATACAGGACACTGGAGCTAAGGGTGCCCAAGCGCCAAATCGATCCACTCTAGTCTAGTCTAGAGATCAGATTTATGCGGTATGAAGTGTGTATCAGAAATCGCATGTTGATCATTTCGACTCTCAACGTTTTCACTAGACTATACTGGATGGATTTAATGCGTAGAAGGTACAGTATAAAAAAAAAGGATTTTTGGGGGGTTCGGGGAGAAAGGAGGCCATTCATTTTCGTCCTCACTTCCCCTCTCCCCTCATTTGGAATTTTTCTCGGTTGTCCGAGAGCCACTTCATCAATATGTCAAGAGGCTCTACCTTTGCTCATATCCATCAACCCGCAATTGAGCTTATTTGACCCACACGGTATACATTTTTACGCAATTTACAAGGACGACCGAAGCAGGAAAATGCCCAGTGCCGAGACGATCCATGAAGCTTTCCTGACTCAATTTATTTATTGTCTAAGTGGTCGGACTTAAGTATCGGGAAGAGTAAGAAGACGGATTACGCATGAAACTGAACCGCCATGCCATCTTCATCAGGCTTGATGAAAACACCTTCATCCGACATGATCATCTTCCAGAGTCCGTAGAGCACTCTGGATCCTCAACCGCAACTCTCATTCAGGATTGAATAATAAACGCTGTTCCCCCAAGAGGGTTCTGGACAAATCAACTAAACTCTGAGACTAAGGGTAGGAGTTTCCTACTTTTTACCACCTTCGAGATCTCCTGAACTTTGCAGGCGAAGGATCACGTTCGTCCCAACTGGCTGTGGCGGGATGCAGCTTCTTTCCATATGAGCTTCTGGATGGGGAGAAGGTACTGATGACGAGCCCTGGGTACCCTCGAGCAATTCGGCTAGGACTCTGCAGGATGGTCTTTCAGGTTTTCTCTCTTCACATTCCTTGTTGACGCTCTCGTATGCCTATCATACCTGGGCCAAATCATGCCGCGTCAAGTCAGCACGATATAAAACATGACTTTCCTCGATTCTAATTAAATTTAGGCGGATACATAGTTCCCTGAGAAACCGAGACACCCGAAATGTATTCGTCCCCAGACACTTTGATCTCGAATGAGGGGTCATGAGAGCATTGCCTGTTTGGTGACCTAGTGGTACCCATATCCTTCATTATCTTTATAACATATTTACTAATTAAGCTAGAGAAATGACCCACCTCTTTTTAAAATCTGTTTCTGCCTTCGCCAGAAATACCATACTGATTGGAGTTTTTACAGCTTAAGCCATTTAATGACACCGGGTGTGGATAAAAAAAAAAAGTCGCTGTTTGAATTTTTAGACCAGGAAATTGGTCATAGCTACAGGATCAGCTACAGGTCATAGTTCCAGGATGCATGTCCTACGATGTACAGTTGTAGAATGTGCCTTAGACAAGCAGAAGCAACAGCATTGAAGAGTGTTTTCTGGGCGAAAATGTGCTCTGACTTCATAATAAAAAAAAATTATTTAAGGAAAACTGCCGCACATTCTAGACACAGGCCGTTCCATGGTGCGTTAATTTCATGGAGTCTCCGTGAAAATGCGATGATTTTCAAATCTTTTGCTAGCGAACTTCAAAGAGCCTGTTTTGTCAAATCACCAAAGGGAAAATTCCGAAAAAGAGGTACATGATATAAAATACGTGGATGCATTCCTATTGGGACATACACATAAGTTACTTTAACCGTTCTCCCAAATAGTTCATTCCAACTGTGGCGCTTTTTTTCTCCACACCCAGTAATCTAGAAATATCGACATTTAACCTCATTTGGCGAAAATGCACCGTCTGAGATTTCCATGAAATTTTCTTCGTAACTTCAGCTCTACATTTGCAACGTGTATGCATCTAGGGATATTAAGAACTTCTGGAGATGTGAACTGTTCTTCCACTGAAGGAGAAAAAATATCCCCAGTCTGGCAACTCCTAAGGCATTTATGAGATATTATTAGAACATTCCTCTTACAGGAAGTGCTCATGATCTTATTGATTAAAATTACCTAAGTTCACCTTTCCTCGTATATTCAATGCAAGTTAATATTATTTGACAGGAAAAATGAGTTTTCTGACGCAATTTTACATTGAAACCGCTGTTTCAATTCTTCTATTTGTTATAATTTCTATTTCTGTTTCTATTTCTATTTCTATTTCTAATTTCTATTTGTTCAAGGAACATACTTGCTGACATTTTAAAAATAATTTTTGCTATGGCTTAGTTGTGTGCCAATGAATCCGATGGTGCATTGCATCTGTCATTCTCGGTTAGAGCATCCACTAGTGGAAGATACGAGAACATACATTCATTCGTCTCGGACTAGACTAATGTCTTTCTTTCTGGAAACATTACACCATGCATCGAGCCGCCAGAGGCACACGCCGTTCTTACCGTACGTCACGCACTTTCTTTGATTCACATAAATAGGTTTTGTCTCTACAGCAACCAGAAATTTTGACAGCGCGCTGTTGATGAGGAACACTCTCTTCCATGACACCCAAGGCTTGAAATCTACAACGCCCACAAATACCTGCAGCAATGTTGAAAATAGTATCAGACTCTGTGAAAACTCAATTTAAAATCATGATAGCCCTTTACCTGCCGCGCCCCGCTCGTGTTATTATTAGTTTAATTTAGCAACGCTTCTTCCTCTTCTGCACGTCCGGTGACCTCCATTGGAGGACATTTTGTATCTTCCCATTTTACTGTCAGCGCTAGTCATGAGTTCGATTTTCCTGTCATAATAAAGGGAATTGTTAGCAATTCCCCTTTTGATCCCCTTTTCACTTTTCACCCTTTTTACTTAATATCGATCACGTGGGTCGTTCTAAATACTCGCACACCGCTCTACCTTACTTTCAGTACATTTAAGACCCAACCCTGTTCCCGCGGTTCTCCACTCCTCCATCCACGCGACACAGGTACTTGTCAGTTGTTTAAGTTGGATCCGTTCCAGTTAAACTTATTTTCCTTTAAACTTTATAAAATCGCCAAGTCACTACTCGAGAGGAACCATTTCGGTATAACTTGAATGTCCACAATGGGGTGACCTGGAAGCAACAGTAATTCAGACCCATCAAAATGCTGAACTGCTCCTTGTATTTTAGAGCCTGGGCCAAGCGCTACACGAGATTCTTGGAACCATCAAAAGAGAAGAGAATGAAGTCGCAGTAATAATGCTTGACTGAGCAGAATGCTATCTTTTCAATCCGGAGTAGCTTTAAACTTTTATTTCATAGTCGCATTTCGTTGCAAAATCTATGGGAGTAACGGCTTCGCAGCTTCTACCTGGACAGAATTCATTTTCGTCGAATAACTTCCGACTCGAAAATTCGTGTTCAGAAATGACAGCTGAGATTGTTTGAACAGTGTAGCAAACGAATGGGGTTCCAATGTGAGGATTTCCACCTGCCGTCGTCGTCAGAGTGTCTCTACTCCCTGGCTTACCTCCAAATCAACACTAATACTTCCAATTCGTGAGATTTTCGTATTCTTTACGTAATGATATATAGGTGCACATGTAGGAGCCGAAAAGGGGGTACCTTGACGCATTTGTCCTCCGGGAACTCGTCATGCAAGAGTAGGAGTCTGTTCCTCGCGTACAATAGGTGTCACACCAGACCGTTTCAGTTTAGATCGTTTCCCCTCATCTTTAAATCGGCAGTCATATTGCTTCTCCCGCCACGGGAGGACTTGAAATCGGATTTAATCAGATCGCGAATGTTGGTACAAATGCGCTAAGGTATCCCTTCGTGCCTTTCATTCGATCGACCCGGACAATTGATCACGAAGTTCTTTCGTTTAAGTTACTTCTGCGGGTCGGGAGAGTTCAAGACGCAGAAGGTGTTCGAGGCAGGAAGAGCTGTGTTTACACTCCATTCATGGTATGTTAAGATGAGAGGCTTCAATTGCTCCATCACCTGTGGTCAGTCCCATCCCCTCACCCTCTCTATTGACACCATTCGTTCCTTCATTCATTCTCTTTACTTACCATTTTCAGGGAATGAAATAGCTACAACCTGCGGTGAGTTCTCGCTTTTTCTCGATTTCTGTTTTTAAGTGCCGGTTATGGTGGGACCGAGTTGAACGCTTCTGGATAGAGTGTGGAAAATCGTTTGAGTCGTGTCGGATAGTCGGAGGTTATCCCGTATGTCCTGGCAAATATCCTTGGATGGCTGCCATTTCCTATCGGGGAGATTTTCAGTGCGGAGGATCCCTCATCAACGACAAATACATTCTCACTGCTGCCCATTGCCTGTAACAGTACATTTCCAGCTGAGAATCTCTCTACCAGAAGACGGAGCGACGCGATGCACATCGTTGCATGACATTTTTGCTGTATATTCCCTGACAGAATTGGGAATGCATCTGGGTATTTGGTGTCACTGGGAGATCACGATCTGAAGGTGCTGTCGGAAGCTGCCTCCATCTCAGTCCCCGTTTCCGGACTTCTGCTCCATCCAGAATACACGCACAAAGATGACCATTACGTGAATGACATTGCCCTCCTGGAACTGAAAGTCCCAGTGAATTTCAAGGAACACTCGAACATCCGGCCGGTGTGTCTGCCCAAACCGGATGAGATGGACGTTGGGAAAGAAGCGACAGTCGCAGGATGGGGCTCCGAATACAGCGGTCCGATCCTCTCTCCTTATTTCTTTCTCCACATGCTAATGGCCTCTTTTTTTTTTAACTGAGAAACGTATTATTTAATAGAGTGGAATTAATTAAGTCGAGCGCAATCCGACACGCTAGTTGATATAATAACGTTCTTTTTTTTTAAATAGTACCAGTAAAAAAAAGTTTCACAGTCGGACCATCGCCGACTGAAACTTGCATATAGTCGGCCATGTCCTGTGTGCATTTCATCTGTCCAACAGCGGTTCATTGTTGGGAAAGTTTCCCACACCGCAGAGATAAACCGGTGCTGAACCGGTATTGAACCGACTCAGCATGAAACTTGGAATAGTTTAATATCTATCTAAATATCTATCTATCTAAATATCTATCTATCTAAATATCTATCTATCTAAATATCTATCTATCTAAATATCTATCTATCTAAATATCTATCTATCTAAATATCTATCTATCTAAATATCTATCTATCTAAATATCTATCTAAATATCTAATATCTAAATATCCAGTTTAATATCTATCTATCTAAAAAATAAAACCACATCAATTACGCATCTCGGGGAGATGTTCACTATCCGTCATTTAGGTACATCTTTCTCATTTAGAAAACGTTAATACCTCCATTACTGTTCTGAAGAACGTTCTCCTTGTAGGTTCTGTGAACCTTCTCGTCAACGAAGCTCTCTCGGTCTGGTCGAAAATATGCCAGCAAGCACTAGCTTTTCTAGAGTGTCTTCTTGTGAGGCATGCTTTCACAGGATTGGAATCTTAATTATATTTTTCATCGTACATTTGGATCGATCTCTGGTTTTGTTCGCGTGTCCGGTTTGATAGCTCGGGTGATCTCTTTCATCACAAATGAATTCATCCCCTAGGCCTAGAGAAGAGCCAGACACAGCATGCCAAAGTAAGCGTGGGGCTCATCTCTGTCAAATTAAATGAAAGGCTATTAATCCTTCCAGTCCGTGTAGTTAGGTCCCTAGTCGAACCATCCTGTCAACAACCTCCGAGCCGAATCGCTTGAAGTCTCTCCTGACTGGATTAACTTACCTCTTTTGTGTAATGTATAGGCGAATTTCAATGTCCTTTCCTAAGTTGTCTGAGGGATAAGATCGGATACCGCACTGGGGATGATCATTCCATTGCCAGCATGGAGTGACTAGCGACATCAGCGATTTAGGCGCCATCTCGTTTCGCTCGTGGGGACCTTGCTTGTTCGACTAACTGCCAAGTGGCCTGCCTGTTGTCTCTTGATGGCTCAACTTTTAGGCTTGCTCGTTTGGCCAGCTGTACATGTGCCACTGTTGAGCCTCCTTTGGCATTACATGCATCGCCAGCTAGTGAACGGCAGTATTACTACCTCAAGCCTGATACTTGTTGATATGGTGAAAATGCAAATCTGGAGAGACTTAATAGGATTACTGGAGTTAGATGGGTTCTCCAATGCTGGTGATGATCTCAAATCAGCTCAGGTTTGAAGAAACATGCATAATTTTCACACTTGAATGATCCCAAGCAGCATGTTCACGTAAACAAGATATCAATTTTTTGCAAACAATGTAAATTCCTTGCGATTGCCTTGAAAATGACATCACGTTT